AGTCAGTGCTGATGGTTAAAGCCCAACATTGCAAAGCTGCGTTCAAGAAACTTGGGGTGGGTAGCGTGTCCGCGCCGAGAAGCTGCTCAGCAGCGTTACTGGAGGAGGAGTGTCCAAGAAGCTTCTCGAGGCTAACTCTGACTGAGCTCTGCTTTCTCTTTCAGCAAAGTACCTTAAAGATGGATATAGAAGACTGTAATGGACGATCTTACATATCTGGTATGTCTGATCTTGATTTTTGTCAGATATTTTGGGTTGCTAACGCTTCAGGGTGCTCAGCATCTTCATCTAGGTCTAAGCTGCCCTGTGTTAGGTTGCTTAGCCCCAAGGCTCTGCTGCTGTTGCCGTTACAGACTGAGCGTTGAAGGAGTATATTCAGATCACCTAGCACGTTCCACTAAGTATCTGAGGAGGGTTAATGCCTGGCATAATAAACAGGTAGTTACAAAACAAAACAAAAACCCTTCCTAGGCTGATCCTTGAAAGTTTGCACGGAAGTTCTTGTGCTTGTCTGTTCGTACGCGGGTCTGTTGCGTGGCTGTCAGTACGCTGGCTCACCGGCTCTAGGTGAGATTTCAAGCTTTGCTGCCAGCTGAAAGGAAAACGTATTTCTCGTGATGACTGCAGTCCCGGCACTGGAGCGTCCTGGGGGAGGCTCGTCGTCCTTTCGGGACTCCCTGGGTGCGCTAATGAAACGGGTATCTTATTCTCCCCTCAGTCCTGCTCGTCTCTACAACGAAAGCGCTGTGCCAAACTTCCAACTCCAAAAAAGTGTGATATTTAAGACCCCCATAGGTGATCTCAGCTATGCGCCCTGCCAAGCCCAGCGCTATTGTTTATTAGTGTATGTTAAGATTAAACCCAGGCTGAGTTCCAAATGTAAAACCGTGAAACGTCCGCAGGGAGAGGGGGAGGCAGTGTGGGACTGACCTAAATGTTAATGATGGAAGTTGTTGGTTTACCAGACCGCTCGGTAACCAGCAGGGTCGCGTAGACGTGAACTGCAGTGTCGTGGGTCGAAACCACTGAACGCCTGTCACTGTCGCTTCCTGTGTGACCACCTCCAGAAGGGTCCTCCGGGGCACCGGTGGGATTAATAGACTAGCTGGTTGCCTATAGAAACCTGGCCCGTAGCCTGTATAGGTCATAAGTGAAAGCTAGTTTGGCGGGATTTGTTCTTATCTCTGGGGAACTGGCGTTTGCAGCATAAAAACACCTCAGTTTGTCAATCTTTGCTCAGCTGGACTAGAGTAAGACGTGATGGAGGCACGGAAGTTATAAGGCCAGAAGGGACTCTTGCGATTAGCTAATCTGGCCTCTGATATGGGAGACGAGGACATCTCTGTGTTAGGACTGTGAACTGGAAGAGCTGCAGGGTGCTGGAGATGAATCGTGCAGCAGGGGTGAAGGTCAGAAGTTGAAGTGCATGAAAAGGGAGAGAGGACCCCGGCTGTTATAACGAGCAGTTGTGGTGGTGAGAACTTGGTGCATTGACAGAGCTGCACAGGGGACTTTGCACAATGTCCCTTGGCATACATCGTGTTATATCTTGCCCATTTTGACAAAGTTCATCCTCAGAGTTATTGTGTCCCCCTTCCAGATTTCCTTCAATCCTCGGAGGATCTGTGCTTGGGTTGGATTTTTGGCTCTTCTCAAAGCACTGTTCCCACTGTAGTTTGCTGCTTGGGTTTTGGTTGCCAGGATGCCTCCATGAAGTAACAAAATGCTTCCCTGAAGTTGGCTGATCACGCTGTGCCAGGGTGGCTGCCTGCTGAAAGCGGCTGCTTTGTTAGTTTAGTTCAGTTTTCTGCTTAGCAGAACTGCAACCTCCCAGCTCTTGCAACCGTCCTCAAATGGAGCTTGAACGCGCGTGAGTGCACTCGCTTTGGAGGTCCGTGATGCCTTACAAGCTGCAGCTTTGGTTTTCCTCTGGGAATTTTGGGGGTGAGCTTTCCCCTTTCCCCACAATCTCCGCAGTAGGTCTGTGCTTCCCTGCAAGCATGGAAGTGCTGCAGCTCGGAAAGAGGGTCCGAAAGAGGTGCTAGAAAAAGCCCATCTCAGTGTGTCCCAAATCCCTCTCTGTGTGCTTGTGAGCTTTAAACGCTGGAAATCCTTCGGTCTGGGTCTTAAGCAGCTCCTGGAGTTTGGAGGGAATGGGAATGGTTAAAGCATGGGTGCAAGGTGGGGGAGAAGGGAAGAAAAGCATTAGAAGAGCTGAGCGGGCTCTTCTCAATCAGGGTGGGTTTCTCTGCATCCAAGCAGCACCGTTCACCTGGCTGCGGATGGGAGAGCGGCCAGGATGAATCCCAAAGCTGCCTTGTGCCGTCCAGCTTCTCTGGCCGCAAAGCCAAGCGTTCGGGGGGGTCTCCTGCGAGCAGTCGCGCAGACGATGGCCAGGCATAGCCGGCACCGGCCCTTCTCGTGCCGCATCTGAGACGAGCCTGCTGTGGGGCGAGTGAGGCGCGGAGCTACAATTTCATCAGAAGCCATCTTGGTTTCCATCAGTCAAAGTCGAACTCTAAGCTTTAAAATAAAGCTTTTTTTCCCCTTTTCTTTTTTAATTCAGTGTGATGGAAGTTTGCCCTCAAAGCACGGGATAAATGCTGTAATAGCTGCGGGAGAGACTGAGCTGTGTGGGAGCACTTCAGCACTGCTGATTTCCTGATACTTGGGGAATTGAGCCTCTAGGGCCGGCTCAGCTCTTGGCCTTGCTGCACAGCCTGTCTTTGTGGGTGTGGGGGGGGTCAGGGCGAGCATAATTAAGATTATCTACTCGTTAGGGTCGGGGTCAAGACCTGCCAATTAGCTGCCTTGGGTTGCTGAGGTGCTGTGGACCTGAGATGACTGGAGGAAATAAACAGCAGAACTCCTGAAACTCGTTTCTGTGAAATATTTTTAATTAAACAAATTATTAACAACAACAAAAAAAATCCAGATTTGTCACATAGCGAGGTAACCGAAAGCCCGGAAATTCGTAAAGAACGTGAAATGCTTCATCTCCTTTGAATTCTTCACAGGAAAATAAGTTAGTTTTGAAACAGCTCTGGTAAAGACACGGTTGTTACCGCAGAAGGGGTAGGAACAAGGTGGAGGCGGGCAAGACACAGCTCCATGCCGCGTATCGATTCCTCAGGTGGCATGTCCTCAGATTATAAGCCTTTCTATAGGTACTTAACCCGAAAATGAGCGTTCTGATCATGCAGATAACGACTTCACGGTTCTTTCTTGTTCGGCGAACGCTCTTTCTGGGGCTGGACGCGGAAGATGGCAGGCTGCCGCCGCCGCCGGGCTTTTCCCCAAGCTGGCGCGGGCGGTGCGGATGCAGGGTTAAATGCTTTAAGTTCCTTGGATAACTGGGCTACAGGCAAACGGATCGTCTCTAGCGTGATGTTCAGATTTCCATTCGTTTTTAGAACGGATGAAACGTGACCCAATATTTCCTGAAATCTGGAGTCTGAAAAGTTATCAGAGAGGGAAATTGCTAAGAGACCGTCGAAACCCAGGCGCTGGTTGCTCCCCAAGGTGGGATAGGGCTTCAGTTCTCACGTCCATGGGCAGGAAACCTGCCCACCCTTGTGGAGCTCTGAGCTTCGCGGAGAAGCGCCGGCAGCGGTTGTCCGGGGGTGCTCGTGCCTTCCCCTCTTCCGCGCGGCGGGAAGGATCCCCGTCCTCTTGCACGGGCACGACTTCCTCCGAAGGGCGCCGATTAGAGCGTGTCCCCCGCCCCGGGGGCGGCAGGACCCCGTGCCGGCGGCCGCAGGGCGAGG